TTACCTGTGACAATGATTCTTGAATAATTTGTGCTCACTTTCTTTTCCCTCGTAATTGAATTTTCAGTGTGGCACCTAAAGCTAAAAGGATTCACGTGATCGGATGTATCCTGGATATACAAATCACCATTTTCCAGCATGCCATATTTGTCTGTAACATTTAAAAAGGAAATTGAGTAATATATTTCATTTTACACTATCCGCATAATTGTTACATTTTATTTGAATCGTAATTTTAAAAAAAACTGTTATATTTACTTTAGATAGTAACAAATATTTTTTAAACTCAAAATTTTTTTACAATTTTATTTATAATTCTTATCAACTAGAAAATGTTATTAACTAAGTAATGCATAATAAATAACATAATAAAATTAAATACGCCCAATCTATAATTATTTTTTAAATATAGAACTCATATATTGATATTTTTTGTTACTGTAATGCTCAAGAATTGGGAACATCCGAAGAACAACTAGAGAAAAAAACAGCCTAAACTCAGATTTACTTAACATTAGGCATAATAGTATACAATACATAAACGTTGTATTATTTTTGGGAAAAGACGATACCATTCCTAACATAATACAATATAAAATTTAACAAATAATGCCCACAATCTATGCTAAGATTATTTTCTCGTGCATGTATGCATTTTTTCTCATACATGAGATTAGAAAATTTTAATATACTTATATAACTTTATTCTAATTAAAATATAATTTGTGGTTTAATATAGACTATGTCTTTAACATTTAATGTAATTGGATATGTTGCCACAGATGGAGTTTATTATTTTATTCATGAATTAAAAATTAAGGGAACGGTGAACCATTAAAGCAGATTTCACAAATTATTAGCTTAATTAGTTGTGAATGGAATCAATATAGTAAATGATTATTATATTTCATAATTTAAATATATGTATTATTTTTTAAAAAAAGCTATTATAAACTGATTTTCTTTCAAAAAAATCAAATTTTAAAAAAAATTATATTTAAAAATTTCCCTTGCACATTAGTTTTTAAGATACTTAAATAATAATTTTTGTTTTATACATAGATGAACTACAGGAAAATATATCTGTGTATGAATTTTAAATTCAGAATAAAATTTGATGAAAAAAGGATACATTTTCTATATTATATGAAATATTTCACCAATTATCACCCATTCAAGGTATTAAAAACAACACAAAATGTCATCCGTTAAATTCTTTAGAAAACTAATGCACAAATTTGTGAATTATATCATCTTTCATAACTTGTGAAAATTTCAAAGATATATTACATAATTTGAAACGCAAGGAACATTTTACGTAACAATGAAAACGGAAAATTTACAAACTAAGAAAAGTACATTTTAAACATTTATTTGAGTAAAAAAAAAAAACAAATTGTAATTATAAATTAAAATTTCAAAATCCTTTGACAAAATTATTCTATAAATTATAAGGAATATTATTAGTATAAATAAAATCAAATTGAAATTTTGACCAAAATTTGACATTTTGAAGGTCCACAATTCTCATAATTTGAATTTCTGATCTGGATTGAAGTATTATAAATGATAGATAAACAATATGTAATATGAGTTAGTAATAATATGAACAATGTATAAACAGTACATTGTTTGGATTAACAAGAATAAGGAAGAGCAACATATACCATGGATGAAAACATATTTACGTTTATTTTATGTGTTTTAATTAGCTTCAGGGCGAACCTTTAAATATGTGCGAACATTTTATAATTGATCCACGTATACTGATAAGAAATTAATGTAAATGTGTGAATTGAAAAGCATATTTCTCAACATTTTGTAAAGGATAAAACACGTCAATTAAACACAGAGGTTAAATTAAAAGTTAATCAAGTTTTTTTCGCCATGGTGGTAAACACAAAAACAGCAGTAGTGTTCAAAATATTTAGGTTTATTACAATGTTGCAAGCAAAGAAAATAAAATGAGAAGGAAAACTTTGTAGAATTACCAAGGATAAGTAGTCATTTATTCTGAAACAACGAAATAGAGAAAGATTATAAAAATTACTCACCGCTTGTCAAATGCTGAGTAATCATAAATCCATCAATTCTTTCCCATGACGTAACTCGTACGTAATCATTGACTGAACTGGGAATCGGACATCGAAGTACCGCCATATTTCCTCGAAGGACAAATTCATCAAATAGGCGAATCTCGTAGTTTTGGAGAACAACTGAAAAGAGTAAAATAAAGACATTAACTATAATTTACACATCTCTGATGAAATGTATTTATATATAATGTCTATACGAGTTAGAATATGACCTAATCCTCTAAAGTTATGTATAAAAAACAACAACATATTTTAAGCTTTTCAGTTTTAAAAAGGAATACAGAAAACTTTACGTTACATATTTCAAAATAACGTTATTATCCTAATAAAACTTTATTATGGTATATATTGTTTCATGCTTGAAGAAATATTTTTCTAAATCGTCATGGTAAATTTATAAAAATAGCCATTTTATTCTTTTTGAAAAAAAAAATGAATAGATTTCAAAATTGTTTTGAAACACATTATTGGGATAAATTACGGGAACGCTTAGTTATGTTGGGCTTCAGATTACAATCATAAATAGATTAATAAATAGTCATATTTTAGATGACTCTAATGTATGTTAAAATAGCGTGTGTTACATGATTTTTTATATATATAATAAAAGGGAACTTTTCTATTAAAATTTTTTAATTGTGTTTTACAGTAAAAAAACTTACATTAAATTTAAATGTTAAGAAACTTATTTAAACACTGAAAAATTCATTTATGATTTAAAACCGCGATACTTAACCTGCGGCCCGCGGGCCACATGCGACTCACTGGAAATATTTGAGTGACCCGGTCATGGTACATTGCTCTAAAAAATTTATTTATGAAAATTTGGTGCAAAATTTTATGTTACGAAATTAAATATATTAATTTTGCTTTTTGCTGTCGATGTCGTATGGGAGTGAATTGATATATTTTTCTGATTAGTGATAATAGACAACAGTAGTGTAGCGACCATTTTATGAAGGAAACTAATTTTTAACTAATTTCATACCCGGCATGCGAAAAATATTCGAAGAAAATAGGTTGTTTCAAGACAATTGACAAGTCGACAGTTTTGTAGTGAAAAACAAGCATGGATCAGTAATTATTTTATTTGTCAAGAAAGTGTTGTATTTAAAAAATACTAATAAACAGGAATCGTGTTCAATGATATTTTTCCTTGCAGATCTCTTTCCAGAGGTGATAAATAGGCTTTCTTCAATAATCTTTACAACAGCAAAAAAAAATGTTTTGCCAGTGGTAATGTCACAGTAGTTATAAAGGAACTCTATGAAGTTTGTTATAATATTGATATTTGTATGAAACCGTTTACTGATGCAGAAATTATGAAGGAGGGATTCTTAAATGCTTCAAATTTAGAAAAGTAGGAAATATATAAAATATAAAATATAAAAAAGTAAGAAAAATAAATAAAAAAGCAAAATATGAGTTTTAATATTTTGATCAAATTTCCACATTCCAAATTTTCTGTTATCTTAGTCTTAAACTATTTCTCCCCTCTCCATTCATCCTCATGTTGCAGCCAGCATGATATAGCCATCATATGTATGTGGCCCGCTTGAAATAGCTAACATATGTGTGCGGCCTGGCCGAAAAAAAGGTTGAATACCCTGATTTCAGGTATCCGACTACGTTCGGAACCGTGATTTTAAAAAGGCGCATAAATGGATATTTTTCATGATATTTAGTGTCACTTAGATTAGATTACATGTATAAAATTGTTTTAAGCACATTTTGACAAAAAAAATATTTAAAAACAATATTTGCGTAAAAAACTAACTTAGAATAACCTTTTTTCAATATGTTCTCTTTTGGCGAAAATTGCTTCTATTATAATAATATTTTGCCTGTATATAGCTCAAACCTCTGTACAGAGGTCCAACTATAATTTTTGAAAAATTCGGATTATTTTCAGAGTTACAGCCATTTGAAATAATTATAACCGTTTTTTTCCTTAAATTTCTCCCCTCTGTTGTCGTAAAACATGGATAAACGCACTTCTAAGTTATATATTTCAAAAATTCTAGTCAGCTCTGCAGAGGTCAGGCATATACAGGAAAATATTTATAATAAAGATTTTTAAGGAAAATTTTTTAAAAATTTGTCTTTTAAATCCTTTTTTTGTCAAAATATTGCTTAAAAAATTTTTTTATTGTAATATATTCTTAAGCAATTTTATATACATTTTTCTAAATGACCTTTTAAAAAATATTACCCTTTATACCTTTTTTAAAAAACACGGGTTTAAATTCGTCCAAAAGGTTAATTATCTTACAATATAGTTACTATTGGGATAAACTGTTTTAGCGGGTTTGGGCACATGATCGTAACTCATGTTGGTCAAATCATGGAGTGACGATACCACTTTAGATTAGTCGTATAGAGGTACTGGTTCCTGTTAAATCTAGCATAGTACGGACATTTGGAAAGTGGGGTGTCAGCTCTCATGTATCCTCCTCATAATTTGATTGTGGTTCTGTATCACGAGATCAGTTCAACAATAGCTATCTTGTTGCTTCAGACTGAGACATTAATAAATGGTAAAAAATGATGTATTCGTATATTTTTAATTAATGTTTTATTTCTTAATAAGTTTAAAGTAAATGAAAATGCTTAATTTATGAATGATGGTTATTCTTCAATTCCTCTACTATTAGTTCAAACTCTTCCTATATATATATATATATATATATATATATATCTTGTTTAAATTTTCAATCGTTTATAAAATATTTGTTATTTCATCCATTTCAAATACAATTTTTTAAAATTTGTAGTGGATGAACTTGATGTTAATATATTTTTTTTCAAATATTAATTCATTAAATAAATTTAATTAATTAATAAATAGTAAAAAACAAAAATAATATTTCAACAACATATATAGAAAGGAAAATCGTTTGTTGTGTCTCTGTAGCGAAAAGGATAACGCGTTGGACTTCTAATTCAAAGGTCATGGATTCGATTCCCATCAAGGATGGCATAATTTCTGAGAATGTGATTTATTTATACTATACCATTTTATTAGAATAGTTACATTTAATTAATGAGTAAATAGTAAAAAAAAAATCGTCCAACACCATATATATAAAGGAAAATGGAAAATTGCAAAGAAAATCGCTTTATGTTTTGTCACTTATTATTGTGATTCTGTCATACGTATATTAATTGTAATTATTTAATAAAAAGTAAGTAAAATAAAATTTTCTTTGCTGACCTAAGTAGAAGTTGACTTAAAAAAAGTTTTTTTTTTTATATTACTTGTTAATGTTTCATTTCTGCCGAAATGCTGCACTACGCTCCCTTGTTAAAATTTAGTTTACTCAACCATTATACAAATTTTGAACTAAGATATAATTCAAGTGTTACGTGTGCTAAATACGTTTAGTAAGATATTCTTATCATGAAAAATAGGATACAAAGACATTATGCGCATATGTCTAACGGCGTGTTCTACAGATCATCATAGTATAAATTACATTTTACTAAAACCATTCTGAGTAAATAAGTCAATATATAAGAGAGCTAACATTTAGGATTCTTAAAAAGTAATCCTGACTGCAAAGTTTGAATATGAAAATGCTTGATAAATATGTGCAGTGAGTTTTATTTCAAGTATTTTATCCATTTAAATAAAATTTTCTAGGTTATTGCAATATATAAACTAAAAAATATTTGAAGGAAAAACAAAATATTAGAAAACTCTTATACAATTCTCAGCCAATTAACAAAAATTATTAGTTCTCATCTATTAACCGAATTGAAATATAACGTTTTGATTTTCCTTAAAAATGAAAGTACAAATATTAACCAAACTTAATAATAACCGACAAAATCCCATAATTTGTATTTATAGATCAAGTATTTTGTTTTCTTGATTAATTCTACAATTATCATTTAATGTTTAGCATCAGGAATAAAATAATCCTTAATATCATTTTGATAAATGAAGCATATAATTATTTGTCTGGAAAAAAATTACAAATATACATTACTTTAATTTGATTTTCTACATTCATAGAGTTATTAAAAGTATACTTTACATTTTTAAAATTAATAAACATTTACCTTTAAATTAGTGCTAGCAAAGTTAAAATATATGTTCGCATTTACATATACAAAGTAAGTTGAATATTAATATCTGTCGTACAACTATTAAAAAAACAAATTATGATCTTCATAAAAAAAATAGTCCAGCATTTTTAAAATACATATTATTCACTAAGTAAATGAAAAAATGGTCTTTTACTTAAATGATGGTTGTAAGATATTTTTATGAAAAAGTATACGTTAGTGTAGAAAATGCTGGTATATTATTTACGATAAAATATTACGTTAAAACATCTATATTTTTCAATGAATGTATTCTCAGTCGAGCATAAAGACCCAACAGAATAGATCACATTTTCACAACACATGAAGTCTCAGTTTGAAGCCAATAGAATTTCTCTTCTGGGAATATGTTAAAGATTTGTGTACCTGGAAAAATTCCATTCCCTCTATGACCCGCTACCAAGAATCTTGGTAACCATAAAAGCAATTCCCAATGATCCGCTTAGCCGAATACGGTTCGCGGTGGAAAATCGCTTTGACATCTGTCGTAACATAAATGGAGCTCACGTTGAATAACTACAATTGAGTTACAACTCATGATTTGAAACACACATACACCCTGTTGCAAAGATTGAAACATTTACTCCCAAACGTAAAAACGTATATATATATATATATATATATATATATATATTTCTATTTTAGGTTATAACAATAAAAAAATCCCAATATCTTTGGTTTTTTCCCACTTAGGATAACTTTTGATTCTAATGCATATGTTCACAATTATTATAAAAAATTATTTAACTTATTACCAAAATGTTTTTATTCGTAAATTGATGTGGAAGTACTAGATCTTTGAGCCTAGTAGATACTTTGACAACTACAGTAGAATCCAGCATAGAAAGCGCACTTTTAACTCAAAAAATAAGATAGAAATTTGCGGGTGCGTGTTATACGCCGGGTATGAAAAATGGTAGTATCATAAACAAAACAAAAAAAAAGAGATGAGCATAGAAAAAAATTCAACTTCTACATAGATCAGAATACTGTTTGTTTGAAAAAATTACATATCTAATGGAACTAAAGGATTCCGATTCTAAAAGAAAGCTATTTTTTTCAACATCATCTGATAATACCTCAAAGATATAGCTTAAAAACATACCAGCTTTGCTTACGCACACTTCTTGTTATTTATTAAAAAAGAGGGTGCGCGTTATAAGACGAATATACCTAAAAATTAAAAAATGCAGCTTCAAAGTATGGGTGCGTGTTATACGCCGGTGCGCGCTATATGCCGGATTTTACGGTATTTAATGTGCAATATAGAATTTTTTTATTAACAGATGTTGCAATTTTTCTTTAAGAAGATAGTCAAAACAATGAGTTAAGCTGTAATTACACTTATATTTAACTTATTTAAACATAAATTTGTACACAAAAATAAAAAACCATATGTATAAAGTTCATAAACGGGGATTTTTGTTTATGATAAATATGCACAACATATAATACTTGTTTAAATATGTTTCAAACTTATTTATATTTATGAACCCCAAATTTTAAGATTATTTTTAACTAAAAAGTATATTTTATAATAAACTAATATCTTAGTACAAAAATCTGATGCATAAAATTCAGAAAAGGGAAAATTACAGATGTTAGATGTTTTGAAATTTTTACTAATGAAAATAAATTCTATATTTTCAGTAAGGCTCATTTTTAAATATTTCATTTGAATTTCAACCAAAAGTGCAAATTATTAGTATTCACATTTACTTATTACCTAAAATATAACATTAAAAAAAAGTATTGTTTTGGAAAACATTTATTGAGAGAAATTTTATATTTTTAGCTCTAAATTAAGCGCACTCTTAAAAATAAATTTTTATTTCATTAACAATTGTGTGATTTTGTGTACAAAATAATTTTTAAAAATGTTTTCTGTTATCTTAATTGAAATATTTCAGTTACAGTTAAGAAAAAGTGAAATGTAAACATTGTGCAACGAAGTATAAAATACAAAAATATAGCAACGTTTATTAAATATTTTCTTAAAACTGTATTCTTATAAAACAGAAACATGTTTAAACCAGGAATTTTGTAAAAAATAAATTTAGTTACATAGGTTTCCGCCAGTATACTTTTTGTGAAATGAATAAAAATTAAAAGCAAGGTATTGTTTTCTTCTATTATCCTTTGAAATTTTCTGTTTATGATTCTTTTTAAAAATATCTATAAAATTGAGCTTGAAAACTGAATTTAGAGCAAATATGAAAGAAAAAGCTTAACAAAATTAATTGCTTTATTTTTATATTTTGTTATCTTTGTATTTAAAAAATAGCTGTAAATAAATTTGAAATGAATTGATTTTATGAGAAAGATGCATTTTTATTTATGAAAGCATTTTTTTTTTCTTTTCGGAAAATCTGAATTTCAATAAAAGAATGGATATTTCAAGGGAAAAAAATGTATTAAGATAAAACAGCTTCAGAAAAGGAGTTTCAGAAAACTCTGATTATTTTCAGAACGTCCTGATATATACATTTTTTTTTTAAAAATAATAATACTTTTTTTTTATTCAGATCATTTTCAGACATGAACTTCTTTTTAAAAAAAACTTTTTTTCAGATTTCTTCAAGAATTCCAGTTTTTAAAATTCAAAACAATCTAAGAAATATTCATTCTAGCACAAAAACGGTCCTTTTCAGTTTTAAAAAGCACTTCCTCCTTCGCTTTAATTTTTCATTTCTTGCAGTATCTCAGTCAAAAATAAAATTAAAGCTTCACTTATTTTAATAACTTGAATTTTCTTAAAAATGGACTTGAGATCTGAAACTTTAGTTTTTCTATTGATTTCTGGAACAATACTCGTTTTTAATAGCGTACTTGATTAATTAACATTTGTTAGATAGCTCGTAACGTTACATAGACTTTTAAATATAACTTACATAGATTCCTTTTCATTAACTCCTTTAATTTTAACTATTATTAAAATTATCCATTTTTTGAACGAACATAAAATGGGTATTTAATTTCTCTTTAACTTATTTTAGTTACTATTGGTTTTATAATTGGTTTGTCTTTTGCTAATTAATATACAGTTTTCTTTTTTCCTTTTTCAAACTGAAGGATGGAAATTGTTTCAATTGTTATTGTACTGAACCTGTTTCTGAAAAATGTATTTATTTATTTGAAATAGAAAAAAAAATCCCAATCGAATTAGATAAAATTTAATTTTGATTTCCATCCATCATTTTTTTTTAGAATTTAAAGATTTTATGAATTTAGTTTTAGGAATCAACTTACGCATTTTTAAAAACAAAAATTTTTTAAAATTTTATAATACTTTTAACTTTATTTAATTTTTTTTGTTGTTCTACTTATTGTAGTTTCATATAAATTCTGTAATTGCATTAGAAAAAGTATTTCAACAGATACTTTTCCTTTTAAAAATATGCATTAGCTTATTTAAGGTTTCCGACTACCCTAAAATCATGATTTTTTTTCAAAAATTGACAAATTTTTTTATGTGTTTTTATAGGTCATCTTATTAGCTTAATAAAAATACCAAGCTCTTACTTTCTATTCACTAGAACAAGTATTTTAGTAAAAGCAGATACCATAACTTTACACAAGACGTCAAACTTTAAAAGAAAATTGCGTTTTACTCCAAATGTATTTTTTTTCAAAAATCTTAAATGGGGACAGCGATTACTCAAAATGTTTTTTTAAATAATTTATTGAAATTTTTTTTCATATGTTCTGTATAACAGTAGAATTGTTTTGACCTACAGATATATCAATCACTATTTTATTTCAAAATTTACACTTCTTTATGTGAATATAATGACTGATTTTTTAAGCAATTTCATATAATCACTAAGATAAAGTGTTCTAGTTTTTATAAAAATGAAAATATCTCTT